ATGTCTCACATTTGACAGTGGCCTTGGCTCTCACAGTGATTGTAAGCTTAAATAGTCAAATAACTTAAGGGCCCAATAGGGTAATTCCATTCAGTCTCTAGTCTTGTACAATAATTCAGTCTTGCAGTAAAATAGGGAAGCATAGTCAGCTTAATAAATATTAATGATTAATCATATATATGCATATTTAAACACTTTATTTAATTATGTAGTGGAAAGATAAAAATACTACATTACTATACCTCCAAATCTATCAGTTTAGTCTGACAAAGTCAAATTACTTTAACAGTGTAACTATTTCCCCTCTGACTTAGATTTTGTTTTCCCATTTCTTGGGGCATAAAAGTATCTCAAACTAATACTAATTGACCATAGTTTGATACAGAACTAGATTGTTTAATGGAGAAAAAAATTCTACAACATCTTATTTTCAATGCTCTTATATCTAGGGACCTTTATATACTGTAATCAACAGAGAGTTGCCTTTGGAGCCAAAGATCTCTATATGACTGTGGACACATTATTTAAATTCTTTAGGATTAAGTCTCTTCATTTCTAACACTGTTCTTATAAAATTTAATTAAAACATGATATTAAGTGAAATAACTAGGTAACACATAGCCATAGCCAAGTGTTACCTTTTCTTTGTTCAAGCCCTGAATTAAGTCCTATCAGTCTTAAAGTAGGAACGAATTAATGTTTTATCTTGTAGGTCAAGCCAAGATACAGCAAATGGGTAAGAACATACACTATTCCTTTTGTGAATATTTCTGTGGTATATCCTCCATTGATGCCCAGCTGAAATCCCACACCAGCTGGACAAATTCTCATATCTCTTCTGAAATCCTTGATTTTAATTTTGTGAAATACTTACTTTATTCTAACTACGGGATACCCTCTGTCCTCACTTTTTAGTTGATTTTTCATGTGAATATTGATTTTCACGTGAAAATGTGAATTTTCATGTTTTATCTCAGTGGATAAATCATAAGGTCTTTGAGGTTAGGAATCACACACATATGATTCCTATATACCTTATATCATACACACACACCTTAGTCTAGTCAGGCTGCTATATAGAATCCATAGATTAGTTGGTTTACAAGCAATAGAAATTTCTCACAGTTCTGGAGTCTGGGAAATCTAAGATCAAGGCTCTGGCCGATTTTGTTTCTAGTGAGGTTCCTATCCTGTTTCACGAATGGCTGTCTTCTCTCTGTGTCCTCATATGGTGGAAACTCTCTGGGTGTCTTTTATAAGGGCACTAATCCCATTCATAAAGGCTCCACCCTCATAACCTAATCACCTCCCAAGGGCTCTCCCATCAAATACCATCCCACTGGGGATCAGGGTTCAACATGAATTTTGAAGGAACATAAACATTCAGTCTTTATCCTATCTCTATCTCTCTATATAATTGGTAACTATTGTTTTTGATTTCAGGAACATTAGTTTATACACTGCCTGCCCAGAATGCAGACTAGGAGGTGATAATAAATATTTTTGAAGAATTGAATATCCCTGCCACTAGTTTGACAGTCTCTTGTTTTTCATATATATGCTAAATTTCAAACACTTAAGAAGCAAATTAATGTGTTTTATTAACCCTCAGTAGTATCAAATTCAGTGACTCATAAAAGGCAGTCTTCTAGTTCCTACCATGTTGAAGCCTCACATCACCTCAAGGGAATTAAAATTAACATACAGGGGCACCTGGCTGTCTCAGGTGGAAGAGCATGTGACTTTTGATCTTTTTGATCTTGGAGTCATAAGTCTGAGCCCCACATTGGGTGTAGAGATTACTTAAAAATAAATTTTCAAAAATTAAAATAAAGCAGAGGCCAGTAATGTACAATCAAGAAACCTGATGTTACTATCTATTTAGAGTTTTGTATTTAAAAGAAACAAAATCTTATGAAATATATAAGGTTCTAGACATTACAAAAAACCCACTTTTTCAGTATGTGATATTATATGAAATTTATAATCAAATAATAACTTCTGTTGCTTCATTTAAAACATTAAGTCAGCCAACATGAAAGTCTTTAGCAGGGAAAAACATCACATTTCGCTGTAGCTATAGCCTGAGAAAGATATATATAGAAGGATGTCATTTGTTAAAAGGTAACAGTCACAGGTATTTTCTCTTTACTTTCATTTTATATTGCTCTGGTCAATTTCACAACCTCAGCCGGTACTCAACAGGGAAATTGGAAAACGGCAGAATCGATTTGCAGAGTGATGTCCTCTTTCCTTTATACCTTCTTCATCAGGGTTGCTATCGTTTTTGTGTTGTGTGGTATTAATATCAACAGTAGCCTAGGCATAGCTGATAATTGCTAAAAGTCATTCTCTTAAAGTAGAAGCATTAAAAAAACCCAAAATGAAGCAAGGTGACTATGCGATTTTCTCATTTTCCAAATTTGCTGTTTTCACAATCCTTCATTTCTGCTAGAATTTTAATGTAAAGACTTTCCTACTTTCAACTATGAGTATAACAAACATCTTTCCTTTTAGTTCCTAGGTAATAAATATTAAAATAATAAAGCTCTAAGTATCTAATTTGAACTAAATACAGGTCATTCAAATATCTGGTTTGCTTTTTCAATTTTCATCCTTACTAAATTTTACTTTAAATTGTAAATATATGAGAAATTGCTCCATAGGACAATATAGTACTTAATGCATTAAGAAAACTGGTGTACTTTTGCGGCTGCCTTTCTAGATTGGCAGTAGGTTCTTATAAAATTACAAATTAGAGCTATTTGAAAACAAAGCTGTGGCCTTTGGTTATTTAGTATCAACCCTGAAACAAAATCTCCTTTGTATTCTTAAAGATCATTGAGAATGAATAGTGTGGGACTATTGGCTCAATTTTTACATCCTCCTCCTTATCCTTTTTTTTAATGCATTTCTAATGATGATGAAATCTTTACTATGTAATGCCATCTGCCCAGTAGAATGGAGTCTATTTACAGTGTCATATAAATGGCAACCTTGTAATTATAAATGTTCACTTTTTCCCCTATTTATATTTAGATTGGCCTTTGTTCTTTGTATTCTGCCACCCCCAAATTCAGAAATTTTTGTGGGTCAAAGAATCAGAAAACTTCCTTTTAATCAATTAAGCAATATTGTCAAGTCTGTTTGTTCATTAGATGAGAATTAAATGAAAAAGAAAACTGGCCAAATTTCTTAAGGCTTAGATACATGATGAGGACAAAAACAAATCGCAAACAAAATCTATATTTTAACAGGTTTGAAAAGGTTGCCAGATAAAATACAGAACACCCAAGTGAATTTGAATTTTGGATAACAAATATTTTACTTCAGTTATGTCCTAAATATTGCATGTCCTGTATTTTTATTTGCTAAATCTCTAAGGATTGATGCCCTTTTTGTCTTAATATCTTCAACATGGTGAGTGAAGAAACCTCCACCATTTTCATAACTTAGAAAGCAATAGCATTGAGATCATAAAAAAATGGAAATTTAAAGTTCTGAGTAACAGAAGTTAAATCAATTTTATCCATGCAGAGCTGTGCAGACAGGGTTTACAGGGTACAGTCCGGGTGTAGACACAGTGTATATCGGTGTTCGTATATCCCAGCCCCAAGGAAACACCAATTCTTGTTAACTTGACCGGAATTACAGTATTCTGAGTGCTAAAGTTTTCAGCGGAGCTAGGAGAGCTGGATTGTTTTTCATCATTCTGTCTTTTTCAATCACAACTTAAATTCCAAATCCTTTATCAAGAAGCTCAACTGTTTGATCTTTTCAGAGTTAGAAAAGCTATGCACACAGACTAACTATATCTTTACTAAAAATTCCTTCCAATTCACTGATACTTACATTTCAGTGGTCTACAAACAGCATTTCCAATGTTAGCTCATCTGTGCCTTACATTTATTATAAAATATTAAGTATCTATAATGTGCCAGGCACCCTGTTACATGCTGGAAATACAACACAAGTAAATCAAAACATGCCAACAGTAAAATTTCTGCTTTCTTTCAAAAAGCTTGCAGCCTGTGAGGCAGATGGAATAGTAATCATTATCCACATGGTACAGGTGAAGGACCTAAGTGCTCAAGAATTAAAAGGTCTTATCTAAGTTCACATATTTAGTAAGGAAAGAACCAGGGCTTCAGTAAGGGTGCCTGGTTCAGGCTCAGGGCACCCTCCAATATTTCTTCAAAGGAAATCTCAGACTATTTAGTATCCAGTTCCCAGGAGCAAAAAAGGAAAGCATCTTGAATCCTTCTATACTGTTCACGCGCTCTTAAAAGTGGAACAGGTGTTCTCTGGGTGTTGGAGAAAAGCAAGGCATGAGTGGGAGTTAAAGATCCTGAGCAGCCGTTGTAACCAGACCCAATTAATCTGGAGAAACCAGAGCTCTCGGCCAAGGCGATGCTATTTCAATTGGGTGTCACAGGTGACTCATCAGAGATGGCTTGCTTTTGGGCCTCCTGATATTTTACTTCAGGGTGGAGTGTCAGATTTCCTTCGCATTTTTGGACAACAGCCCTCTTGTCCATTTCCAAATTTTTCTGGTTTCACAGCCCTCACGCAGAGTCCGTTTTCATACCAGAAACTAGTCACCGGCGAGAGGTTTAGAGAATGAAGAACAAGGTAAAAAAAAAAAAATAAATAAAGAGCCGGGGCCCTGGAGAGAGGCCGAAAATGGGGAAATTTGCACTTCAAGAGCTTTCCCTACCCTAGCCCCTCAGAATGACAGCTCTCCTCAGCCAGAAGACTACCTCTCCCGGCAGGCACTGCGCGCCCCACAGACACAGGCTGGCGAGTTCCCAGCTCTCCACCTCCGCCACGACCAGCCAATAAGAATCACCTGCGTAGGCCTCCGCCCTACTCGGACCACGCGGGAGCGGGGGCAATAAAACTACACTTCCCGAAAGGCCTTGCGCACACCGTGGCCAATAGGAACACGGAACTCGGAGGCTAGGGGCGGAGCCGGATGCATAGGCCACCCCATTGGCCAGGTGAAGCTTAGAAGAGCCGGAACCCGGGAGCGAGAGAAGCGAAATGACATTTCCTCTTTAAATAGCTGGAGCCGGGGCCCCGTGGAGAAATGGCCGCGTCGGCAGGTGGGTCTAGTGGTGGCTAGGGAGGTGTGTTGCGGGGGAGGTGGGCCGGGGTCCAGGCTCAGGTTGCGAGCTGAGGAGGTGGCGATGAAGAGCCGGAGAGAAGGATGGGGAGGTGGAGAGGGATGAGGGGAGGGAGGATGGATGGCGTGGAGGGCGGTGGGCGGTCCGGCCGGGCAGCGATGGGGAGGCCGGGTACCCGCCGCCACTTTGACCAGTTCAGCAGGCGGTTGAGGAGGGCACTGGCGGCCGCCATCCATCGAACTTCCCTCGTGAGGCTTCTGCCCTCCGCTCTTGGCTGGGACGTTCTGGCTCTCGGCGGAGTCGCCGCAGACACCGCGCCTGTTCTGCCTGCAGCGTCCCTCCGCGAGCACGGGGCATCGGGCTCGCCGGGCTCCGGAGGAGCAAGCTGGGGTTTGAACTTGCATCGCAGCTCTCTCTCTCTCCCAGCTCTCACCCCGCGGCCCCATTTGGTGGTGTATATATACATGTATGTATTTTTGTAGGCGGGGAGTACGGCGGGTAGGGGGAAGCGTGAACGCCGTAACTGGCTCCGAACTTCTTGTGGTTGTACGATTTTTCTCCTAGATTTAAGTAAGTCTTCCCCAACACCGAATGGGATTCCATCTTCAGACACAGCCAACGATGCCATGGACCCCTTGCATGCGTGCAGTATTCTTAAGCAACTCAAAACAATGTACGATGAAGGACAGTTGACAGACATTGTAGTGGAAGTGGATCACGGGAAAACATTTTCCTGTCATAGAAACGTTCTTGCTGCAATCAGCCCTTACTTCAGGTATGACGATGGTAGAAACTCTGTTGGTATCTTCATCGAGTTCCCTTTCTTTACCCCTCAGGGTTGCCCACTTGATTATAAAACGGAAATGAGACCATTAAATGAAACCAGTGAGTTTGTTTCCTGAGAATGAATAACAGGCCCTATTTATTGAGCCCTGGCTTTTGACTTGACAGATTCTTATAGGATTCAGGTCGTTGATTTTTAAGTAGTATATTTTTGTTTGTTTCAGGTATATAACTACAAAGTCTAGACTCGTGCTGCTCAGTCATTGTTTTAAATTAAATAAAATTAAAAATTCAGTTCCTGGGCGCCTGGGTGGCTCAGTCGGTTAAGCGACTGCCTCCAGCTCAGGTCGTGACCCTGGAGTCCCGGGATCGAGTCCCCGCATCGGGCTCCCTGCTCGGCAGGGAGTCTGCTTCTCCCTCTGACCCTCCCCCCTCTCATGCTCTCTGTCTCTCATTCTCTCTCTCTCAAATAAATAAATAAATAAAATCTTAAAAAAAAAAATTCAGTTCCTCAGGCAAACTAACCACATTTAAAGTGCCCAGTAGCCACATGGAGGTAGTAGCTGCCCGTTGTACAGCCCAGTTATAGAGCATTTCCATCACTGAAAGTTTTAGTGGACGGTGCTGATATCGAATTTGTTCCAAAAATTTATCCATGAGGCGTAGTTCTCTGGTGACTGTAACTCTTAGAATTTAAAACATAGTAGTGCATTCTTTTGAAAACAAATTACCATTCAGTAGATTGTTTTAATGCCATGGGGGTTAAAGCAATGAAATAAAAATGAATGAATGTATCTTGGGCTTCAGATTAATGATTATTTCCATGATTTCCAGAAGTGTTTTTAAGCTTTCATTTTCATTAAATTCTTCTTTGTGTATCAAAACGTTGGAACGGTAAAATTTCAAAACTGGGGTTTAACAAAGAATTTCATACTTTGAGAAGAGATCACTGATAAAGACAATTTCCTGCTTGAATTTGACTTCCTTTGTTTCAAGTGCTCACTTTTTTAAGGCTTTCGGTGTTCAAAAATGGTGCCTGAATGACAGTGAGATCATCTCAACTACACTCTAAAGGTGTTTTTTTGTTTTTGTTTTTTCTTTTGAAGGTGCTTACCTTTATAGGGCATATAGCAGTATAATGTTCCAGACAGTAGTTTCTGGTTCCTCTTTCTCAGAATACTGGGTTAAATATAGTCACTTCAGTCTGATGCTTATGATGTAACCATTTAGACTTGCCTAGGGATAGGTCATTGGACTGTTAAGTATTAACCATCACAAGGGAGTGAGCTGGAAGGAAAAAAAGAAGAAACTCATATACACAGAAGGTATGAAGTTTGGCCTGGTAATGGAAACTACTGGTGGGATTCGCTTATCCAGACTATTCGTTAGATATGGTTAGTTCATCTGTGCATTTAAATATATGTCATAATTACTACTTACCAAGTTCTGGGCTAAGCTTACTTTACATATATTGCTTTATATATCTTTACCATTCTGTCTCTGCACAGTTATTCCCATTTTACATGTGAAAAACTGAGGTTTGGGCAAGTTAAATGACCTACCTAAATCATCTAACTACTAAGTGGCAGAGGCTGGATTTGATTCCAAGTCAGGCTTCTTAGTCACTGTTAGGACTTTTAATGAACAAGAGTAGGTCCCTTTAAAGTTGCCTTTGAGAAGTTTCTATTGTATATTAGATTTGAATAGTTTAAAAAAAATTGAAACTTGAAAGAAAAATGCCTGTATTTTACTGAAATTTTATACTCTGGCTTGTAATTAAAATTAGTTTGAAGACTTAGACAAATCACTTTAAAAGAAGTATGCTACAGTAGATTTTCTTAATTACAAGAAATTAAGGAAATGGTTAGAAAACTTCCTAAGCATAAGACACATGAATTCAGATGAAGGTATTTGGCTAAAAAACTCAAGGATTAGGTTCTTATCTCTTGCTAGACGTTTTTGTACAGAAGTTTCTTGGCACTGATGCTGCTCCTTATGTGAGATCTAGGAAGACGTACTTAATAGTTTCTAAGTCTTGCATCACTGGTGGAAAAAAATAAAAATAGCTTGAAATCTGGCATGGCTGTTTCATGATCCCAGTGACTTGTCAGAATTAAAATTTGCATGATTATTGGAAACTTTCTACTGCTCAGGATTTTGTGCGAGGAAATGATCCATCTTTATGTGGCATTTACAGAAGGATCCTGTTAGAACAGAGGAGAGCTCATAAAGTGTCACACTGCTCCTGTGTGTGAGGCCAGCCTATTCAAGTCAGTAGAGTTCCCATGATAAAGGGGTATGTGGTAATGTTCTCCTTTGGGAGTTAATCTTTGCCTAATGAAGGGCTTTATTTTTCTTTTTAATTGGTAGATGTATGTATAGCTGTGTTTTTCAGCACCTGAAATGCAAAACCAGCTCATACATTGGGAGATCTAGTTTTCAATCATGAAAAAAAGCCTGTGTGATATTAAGCTTAAAATTTATGTTGTAGAAGTCAAAGTAGGACTCAGAGATGGTTCATCCAGGTAGCAAGCTGGATCCTTGTACCCATGTATATCCCCATGTTTCTCATTGTATTTTAAAATTAACTGTTTAAGGATATATTTTTTTTTATAACCTAGCACTTCAAAATGAGAGGGGTCTGGATCTGTATAAAGAACTTTATCACCAATGTCAGGTCAGTTTCTTCAACAGACATTTAGTAAGCACCCTAGGGCACACAACCCTTTTCCCAAAAGGCTTTTTAAAAGAACTTTGATTTGATTTTTATATTTAATTTTAAGAACAGCCTAGAAAGAAACCTTAAGGGGGGGGGGGAAGGCAAATGATATATATAAAGGACTAATAGTAAAATACAGAGCCAGGCTTTTGGCTACTTAATGTTTTGCCCAAGAAAGTCCCATAAATGCACAGATATTTTAAATTAGAATTAAGTAAGTGTATAAATAAATAAATTTGCTTTCAAAGGCAAAAGCTTGGGATTTTCAAAACCATTATCTCCAAAGCATCAATTAATTCTTAAACTCTCTTTAGAAGTATGCATTCTATTAACCCTACTATAATCTTTATTTATATTCAGATATACATAGGTAAAATATGGTAGCTTTGAGAAAATTGAGTATATTTCTTTACGTAAAGGTTTTCAAAATGTCCAAGAGAAAGTGAGTGGCTCTTTTTTTTTTTTAAAGATTTTATTTGAGAGAGAGAGAGAGTGAGAGAGGGAACACAAGCAGGGGGAGTGGGAGGGAGAAGCAGGCTTCCTGCAGAGCAGGGAACCCTTGACACGGGGCTCAATCTCAGGACCCCAGGATCATGACCCAAGCCGAGGGCAGACACTTAACAACTGAGCCACCCAGGCACCCCTGAAGTGATGTTCTTTATATTCCTTATAATGATTAAGGAAGCATTCAAAAGATCATAGTTTTAAAAGGAAGTAGGTAGAGAATATGAACTTCTGAAGAACATCTTGTCTTTCTGAGATCAAATTTTTAAAGATATATTTCAGGGACAAGTTGCCTTGTACATTTCCACTGGGACATGAAAAGTTTAATCAGACAGTCTATATATGCTAATGTGTCACACTGACACCTATAGGTATTAAATTTTCTGATTATTCTGGTGAGTTAAGATCTCAAGTCCATAAGGCAACTTGACCAGAAGCCTGGATAGGGGCTCTAAGGAAAATAAGGTGTCCTGGAATATTCCATGCCATCTTTCAGTGTGCTTTAATTAGGTATACTCTCTTTTTTTCAGTGTTGGCATAAAGCGGATGTGATATGATGAGCACTGGGGGTTATATGCAACTGTTGAATTATTGAACTCTATGTCTGAAACTAATGATATACTATATGTTGGCTAATTGAATTTAAATTTAAAAAAAATGAAAAAGAAAAAAAGCGGACTGGCCCTGAGAATAGAATTTTTGAGATTAGCTAGATTGAATTCTTATGCTAGATGATCAGCTTTTACCCCCATTCAGAATATCAGGAAACACATTAGGAAGGATTTTTCAGTCTCCAAGGTTATCTTTGTGGTAACTGTATACTTTAAAAAACTTGTCACAATAATTTTTATTTGGAGTGCACATACACTATTAACCACTCTTTCCTTCCTAGATCCATGTTCACTAGCGGCCTTACAGAAAGTACTCAAAAAGAAGTTCGAATAGTTGGTGTTGAAGCTGAATCAATGGATTTAGTGTTGAACTATGCCTACACCTCCAGAGTGGTTCTGACAGAGGCCAATGTTCAAGCCTTGTTCACTGCAGCTAGCATCTTCCAGATTCCTTCCATCCAAGACCAATGTGCTAAGTACATGATCAGTCATTTAGACCCACAGAATTCTATTGGGGTCTTCATCTTTGCTGATCATTACGGTCATCAGGAACTCGGAGATCGATCAAAAGAATACATTCGTAAAAAGTTCCTGTGTGTCACCAAAGAACAAGAGTTTCTCCAGTTGACAAAAGATCAACTGATAAGTATCCTAGACAGTGATGATTTAAATGTAGCCCGAGAAGAGCATGTTTATGAAAGCATCGTAAGGTGGTTTGAACATGAACAGAATGAAAGAGAAGCGCATCTTCCAGAAATTTTTGCCAAATGCATACGTTTTCCTCTGATGGAAGATGCCTTTATAGAGAAAATTCCACCTCAGTTTGCACAGGCTGTCGCCAAAAGCTGTGTAGAAAAGGGCCCATCCAATACCAATGGCTGCACACAGAGACTTGGAATGACTGCATCTGAAATGATCATATGTTTTGATGCTGCCCACAAACACTCAGGAAAGAAGCAAACAGTGCCTTGTCTAGATATCGTCACAGGAAAAGTGTTTAAGCTATGCAAACCACCAAATGATCTAAGAGAAGTTGGGATCCTTGTATCACCAGATAATGACATTTACATTGCAGGAGGGTACCGGCCCAGCAGCAGCGAGGTCTCCATCGACCATAAGGCAGAAAATGATTTCTGGATGTATGACCATTCCACCAATAGGTGGCTTTCCAAACCCCCCTTGCTGCGAGCCAGAATAGGCTGCAAACTGGTGTATTGCTGTGGTAAGATGTATGCAATTGGAGGTCGTGTTTATGAAGGTGACGGGAGAAACTCACTGAAATCCGTGGAGTGCTATGACAGCAGAGAGAATTGCTGGACCAGCGTTTGCGCAATGCCTGTTGCAATGGAGTTTCATAACGCTGTGGAGTACAAAGAGAAGATCTATGTTTTACAGGGTAGGTGCCTGACTGGTTTATTCTCCAGGAGAGGGGAGCAGGACAAACGTGGTTTCCTTACTTATACTAAAACAGATGTTTGTTCTTAATTGAGACTCCTCTGGCTTTCTTATCATAAACTGTTTGTTGCAACAGTCTGTTCTTTAAAGGATGTATAAAGGCAATAAACTTCTGAATCAAAAAAGGCAGGCATCTTTAAGTTACTAAAATGCTCCTGTAAGTTTTTTATGTTCTTACTGTGTTTTGACATCATGGAGGATAAGTATTTTTGAAAACGTAATTTAGTGAATCCTAGTTCAGCATTTTGGGAGGACATTCAGAGCCATTTTTAAGACTCTAAGCTTGATACAAGACTGTTTTACTCTTCAGTAATACATAATCAAGAGATGTTGTAGCAGCTATTTTTTATGGAACTTACGGGATTAGTTTAAAAGAGAAAAAAGGACAAAGAATTTTGTGATAAGCCTTATGATTGCAAAGGTTATGAAACTTAATTATAAAGAGTTTGAAATTACAGTCTTTAGATTTTAATTTCACTGCAGCATATGATACCTTCCATAATATGTTTTCAAGTTTTTTCACTGAAAAGATTTGAGATGTTACCTTTTTCTTTACATTTGCTATTATAAAAGGGACTATCTAATATACTTAGCTTTAAAAAGTTTTTTAAACTGTTGAAGGCTAGTATTCTGGCAAAGATCATGTAGTAGGAGTAGAAAGAAGGACCAAGTAAGTATAAATAAGATACTTGATCCATGGTTCTAATTAGTGATAACTAATGTTTTCCCTGTGTTTGGTTTCTTAAACATTTTAGTTGCCTGAATGTTGAAAACAGTGATGATAATGCCAACATCCTTATTCCTCTTTTGGGTTTCTTAATTGCTTATATATGTTTTCCTCACACTATTACTTTAATAAAACAAGAAAAAAGGGACGATTCCTGTGTAAATACACGATTTTTTTTTTTTTTAGCTCTTATACCATTTAGAGGAATATGTTCTTTGCTCTCATCTTTTATTTGACTAGAAATGCCTGAACGCATTTGTTTAAACTTCAATATCAAGTTAATTCTCCAAAAGGAGTATCACTAGGTAGTGATACTTTATTTTAGTTAAATAGAAGCACAGGCATGATTAGGTTTGTTGGTCTTGCTGAATAATGGAATATAAGACTGGATGTATAATCTGTCCAGTATGGTTGGATAGGTTATATCATTCAATATGATGATGCTTTGCTACATACATTTTGGTCTTGCTGGCTAACCAGTTGATAGAGAGAATCAATTAAAAGACTTCCAATTGGAAGGTAAAGGTTATGTATTAATGTAAATAATAAAGCAAAGTAACAACAAATTAATAGAATTTCAGGGCTAGAATGAACATTGCTTAATCCAAGGTTATATTTTATATAAGAGGAATCTGAGGCTCTAAAAGTTTTCTTAATTGCCTATCTGGTTTAAGTTATTAAGAGGACTTTAGATTTTAAAAATTAGCTTTTTTTGTGAGTCATCTTTTTATAAGAAATTTGTAGAGAGGTAGTACATGTTAGAAACTTTTATTTTCTATTGTCTTTTTAAGAATCCTGTTAAAAGTCAATGAGGGAAGGTAATGCACAACCAAAACCTGGTGGTTTAACAAGCTCTTCTAAGAAAAATTCAAATTATAGTGTCACCATTATTAAGTAGGCAGTTAAATTTGTAGATAAGAGTAAATCTAGTTTAAAACAGTTTTGAAGCTCAATTTAGAAGTAGGTATTTCTAATCTAAACAAAGCCTCTTTATATAAATAAAGTTGACATAAATAGTTAGAGGCTTATGCTGTACTATGTGTGGCTATTGGAGTATCATTTAATCTGTTCCTAAAAGATCCAGATTTTTAAATCAAGGATTTTATACCAATGTTACAACTAACGAAATTCTTGTAAATCTTCACTAATTTAATTATTTTGGACATTTTTATATAGGCAGTCTGACTCAGCACACCCTTTTATCATCAAAATAGAATTGAAAGTGACCCAAAGTCAACTCCATGAACTGTGTGTTTTCTATCATATTAAAGCCATGCTTTCTCCTCTTAAGTATTTATCTTTGCATTATAGCAGCACTAAAGTAAACATATTAGTGGCCCATAGACATAAATCTGAACAATTCCATGTGCTATTTTCTAACTAAATAATTAGCACATAAATGTGTAGTGGCCTATTCATGATGAAGCTGTATGCATACTTTGATCCTACCGCTAACCATTAGTGATAGTGCTTTTTTAGAGCTGGCTTAAAATATATTTTTCTGAAATATACAAGTGTATAGAATAAATGGAGCCAAGCGCTCAACTATTATTCTGCCTTCAAGCCAAAGTAACTCCTTATACCTCCCTATTACGAACCCTCTAATTCAGGTTGACTATTATGTTATGTTCTGCCATGGAATTAAGAAATTTTAGGCTATTTTATACTATATAATGTATCTCTGGAGATTATACAAGAAATATTTTAGAAAGTGAAATATTTGGAAAATTACACTTTTCAACATATAACCAAAAAGAAACATATAAATGTACATATTCTTGTTTTCCTTTCTTTTTTCTTTTTTTTTTTTAGGAGAATTTTTCCTCTTCTATGAGCCTCAAAAAGACTACTGGGGTTTTTTAACCCCCATGACTGTGCCTAGAATCCAGGGCTTAGCAGCTGTATACAAGGACTCTATCTACTACATAGCTGGAACCTGTGGAAATCATCAACGTATGTTTACTGTAGAAGCCTATGATATTGAGCTAAATCAATGGACTCGGAAGAAGGACTTTCCATGTGATGAGTCCATAAATCCGTACCTTAAACTGGTACTTTTCCAGAATAAACTGCACTTATTTGTTCGAGCTACTCAAGTGACCGTTGAAGAACATGTCTTCAGAACCAGCAGGAAAAATTCCCTTTACCAATATGATGACATCACTGACCAATGGATGAAAGTATACGAGACCCCAGACAGGCTCTGGGACCTTGGCCGGCATTTTGAATGTGCTGTTGCTAAACTCTATCCTCAGTGTCTTCAGAAAGTACTTTAATGAGTAGCAGGCCTTAGTGAGCTCACTGGCATCTTGTGCTTGGGGAAACTTCAGTCTTTCATGATCCAAGAAGTGCTGTCAGTATTTAAGAAGCTGAGAGAGTTTGTACATGGCAATGGGTGCTCTTAAAGATTACAGTGTAAGGAGTGATTTCTTTTCATCCTTGTGATGTTTTCATTTCATTAAGCAAAAGGTAACAAAGTGCAATTATCAGCCTTTTTTTTTTTTCTGGTATAAAAGTAATCATTTTCATTCTAGAATTTTGTGGTAATTCATCACTGAGATACCAGATGAATCAACAACTATGCACTCTTATAAGAGCAGTTAGGGTATTATGGTTAGAGACATCCAAACTAGTCTGATGTGACTTTTTATTTTAAATACGGGTAAAAATTTGAGGCAATATCACTAGGCCTTTAGCTGTGACCTCTCCAACACAGAGAAGCACTAACTTAGATCCTCATTCTCTCTATATATTTGTGTACTGTTTTCAAGCGTACTGAGATTTAAATGTGTTTTTAGCGTAGGTTGAAGGAAAACAAATATGTCTGAGAAAGAGCTTTTAGTCTGATTGTTTCATATTTCCCATGTAACTTTAAGTTAAGCTAAAGTTTTAGGGTAGCAGTTTTTTTTTGTTGTTGATAACTTTTTCAAGTGCTCACACTGTCTCATTATTTACAAATCCCGAAAAGGGCTTACATTCACAGGTGGCTGGTGCTAGTATAAGTGAATTCATGTGTCTTTCTAGATAGGTTTAAATTGTCTGAGCCTGTGCTTACCTTTCAAGTTGGTATGCTGGTTTCGTGGCATAGTACTTTACCTGTTGAACTCCTGTGATTTCACAAGATTCTCTGCTTACATGATAGCAAGATCTCTAACTGGACTCAGTTTTAGAATAATGAGAACATGACACTCAGTTTGCACTAACACGGGCCATTTTGTTGCCCTACCTCCTTTCCCATCTTCCCCCCCCCCCTCCATCCCCTCATTATCGGTACAGTGAAAGGTAACTTATTTCTCTTCTGCACAGAGCATAATGTGAAGTTTTATACCTGCTTTTACAATTTTGTTTTCTAAAAACTTAAAACTCCTGCAGTGGTCTAATTTAATGGCTTTTAAGTTACATATGACCATTAAAACCTCACTTTTTTTTTGTTTTCTCATTTTTGCACTTAATAGTAATGTATATTTTTACATTGAAAACCTTGTTCTAGCTGAAGGTGATTGAGAAGGAAAGGGTGAGTGAGTAGAACCATAGCATTGTAGGTACTAAATCACTTTTCATATTGAGTGGATGAATTTCTAACAATCAATAATAGTAATAAAAAGGTAATAGTACTATAAAGGACAAACCAACTCATTTGTAATAATCTAAGGTGGATATTTGGATCAGTAACTTGTTTTTTTACTATGCCTAGAATAATTGATAAAGGATATAGGGATAGCCCAGAGTCTATCCTCAAGTAGAACATTTTGATTCTCTTAAAGAAAACAGACTGGCATGGTTTGTATTAAAAACTCTTGCACAAGTTGTAATGTGATACTGTGAAACAAATTTAAAACATTGCCTCTTTGCATCACATACCTCGTTTTTCAGAAACTTTCCAAACTGCTTGTCCTTGACCTCTACAAGTAAGGAACGTTTTCTGAAGCAGAATTTAAAGTGGACAGCATTTATAGAATTAACATTTTAAAATCTAGTCTTAGGAAGTTGGATATGTGGTTTCTTATTGGCCTTGATAATATGTCTATAATCTCTTTATAACCTTTGTCAACCACCTGTTTTTTTCTCTCTAGTTTTTCTTCTGTTTTTCTTTATCTACATGTTGTTGTGGGGCTTTTGCTGTGAGTGTTTTGAAGCGTCTTTCCAGTGTTGCATTGCGGAGGGGAGGAGAAAACAAAACTAACTTTTGCAAGAGATGTGCATGTAATTTATTTTTGAAAGCTTTGTTGAATATCTAAGGTTTTCTGCCGCTTTTTGACAATCTTCTGTATTTATTTAGAAAAATGTGTTACTTGAAAACATGACATAGAACAGTGAGTTAACAATTTACATGTGCCGTGTGATCTATAGGAGTATAATATACTGTGGCTAATTCTTCATCTGCACAACAGTTGATCCTTTGCTATAACCATTTACATTGGGAGTGTGATCTAAGTATAGTGTGTCAAAGCCAATGTTTAGAATTTGCTACGAGGGTAGAATATATATTGAATTTTGTACGAAGAACTATTTGTTTAAGTTATATAACTGGGATATTTTGCCACTTTTTAAAATGATTTCAGAAGAGATCCTAGAGAGCTAAGATTAGTAATTTGTGTGGGTATATATGTTTAGATATTTAAGGTACATTTGCATAGTATGATGAGAATATAAGTAAAAGGCACAATGGGGACTACAGAATTAAAATATAGGCTAACATATGCCAGTCCCACTTGAACTTTGTTTTTGCATTTGAAGAATGTATTTAGCACTTTCCTATATATTTTTTACACATTGAAAACTGGACTTGGTATAACTATGTTATAGGAAAGTAGAACTGTATTCTTTATTTTCCACCCTCGTTTTCTGTTATCCTACAAAGTTGATGCTTAGGCATCAGGCTGATTTCACTGGTGCATGAGGAGAAGTGGGTGTGCTGTGCAAGGAATCAGATTCCTTCCCTATGTGAAGCAGTTTCAAATGGCATTCAATGTTCAGTGCTCAGGTATGGAGTAAGTACTGTAGTCCTTTGGGGGCAAATGTGTAGATATTTTTAAACATTTTGCCATAATTGCACAATTTTTTGCATTTTTACCTGATGGCATTGTTTCTTATAATAAAATCTTTTCTCACTAAAAACTTCCACTGTTGTAACTTGACCTCTGACTAGTGAGTTCCACAGAATTAAAAGTTGGTGAAAAACATGAAATACCTTCTGTCATAGTAGAATGGAATAAGATTTTTAATCTATCAAGTATTTGGCCTCTGGTACAAAATGAACTGGTTAATATCACCTAACATAATGCTCTTTAAATTCCAAAGCAAGCTTGCTTATAGCAGTAATTCCTTTGTTTGCTTTGCTTTGGCCTAAACTTTTGTTATTCTACTCCTCTCTCATACTTCACATCCAATCCGTCAGAAAATCCTGTCCCTTCTTCAAAATATACCTAGACTCCGACCACATACCACTGTGCACCACTGCCACCGGAGTCTAAACTAGCCTATCTTGTCTGCCTTCTTCACCCTTGACTGGTTGTAACCTATTCTGTTCTCCACACAGTAGCCAGAGTGATCCTGTTCAAACACAAGTCAGATGACATCCCTCTTCTGCTCAAACCAGAGCAGAAGGAGATGGCTTCCCATCTCCTCTGGTGTGAGAGCCAGACTCCTTCCTTAAATGATCTACACCTCACAACCCCACCTCTTGCACTTCATCTACCATTCCCCCAGCTCACTCTATTCCAGCCTCACGGACTGCTGTTCCTGAAGCACGCCAAGCCCTTCCAACATCACTGCCTTTGTCTTTGCTGTGTCTTTTGCCAAGGAAGCCCTAACAACTCACTTTACTCGAGCCACTATTAAAATTCCAGACAGGACTTCCCTAATCACCTATGGAAAACTGAACACTCCCAACTCCGCTCGTATACCCACCACCTGTCCTTTCCTGCTTTATTTTTCACATATCTACCCCTATTGAAATGTAAGCTCCATGAAAGCAAGGGATTTGTTCTGTTCAGATCTGAGCCTAGCATATACTAGGCACTCAATAAATGTTTGTAAAAAGAAATGAATTTTCTGTTAAATCTTAGAAAACCCTGAGACGTGGTAGAACCCATAGAATCAACTGTTTTATCTGACAGGAAACAAAGACGAAGTCAATTGCTGAAGGTCATCTCACTAATAAGGGGCTCATCTGGGATTATAACAAAGATTTCCACTTTCACCTTAGCCTAGTTCCTATATGCTCCATTAGTTCCAAACAAAACTGATAGAAAAAGGTAGATGCTTTCCTAAGGCAACACGATTACTCCCCAGTACTATTATTTAAAATATCTACTGGAATTTTTACTGTGATTGATTCTCAGTGACGGAATAGATGAGGTAGGAAAATACCTTCTCTTTGTCACCCCACCTGGATGCCCCATCTTTATATCATTCTGCTAGTATACTACTGTTATGAGTTCTGTCCCTCAAATAAGGTGAAGAAAAACAAGAAGAAAAGGCTTGGGAAATACTGATTTAGAGTACTGTTATTTTGGTTCTTAAAATGACTTGCCATTTTAAAATCTTGGTTGTATGCCTGTGTTTTTTATTTGCAAATTATTTGCAAATACAAAAACTAAAAGGGGTCTAGTATCTCTAACTCTACAGAGCAATGCTGTAAATAACATCTGCTTGTCTTTTTAAAGTGATATTTGGCATTTTATATAATGGATGTAAGTGGGGGGGAAAAGAACATTTTCCTTTCATTTTATGCTTCTAAGATATACTAAAACTTCTTGACTTGGAACTTTGGTAGACAGAGTTCAAGTGTTTTTCAATAGTAAACATGAAGAGGTGGCATTAACTACTACCAGTTCTAGTAAGTATCAAGTTGATGAGTCCTTAATTCTTGTTCTCCACACTTCATTTTGACTACCTGTATCTCTCTGGTAGAAGATTCCAGAACCTAGAAAGTTGGGTACCTGGCTCATGGGTCTGCTGGTTTTCCTTTCTCTTTTGGTAACCAGCTTTAGCCCAGACACTGAATACATAAGGAAGCTACTCTACACATTTGGACAGGTGAATTAATATGGCTGCCATTTCAGAGAAAGGGAAAAGTACAGTCACAAAGTAAACATTTAGAGATTTAAATTGCTATGCCATAAAGGCAAAATTTAATCCATGAAAGTGTGAAGTCTATTATGACTGCCGAGGGGGGCACAGTCCAGTATGACTAGGTAACCATGACACAATATTTACTTCCACTTCTTTTCAATCGTGTATTTTTTTTTTTTTTTAAGATTTTATTTACTTTTGAGGGAGAGAGTGAGAGCAGGGGGCGGGGAAGGGCGGTGGGGAGGAGCGAAGGGAGAGGGATAAGCAGACTCCATGCTGAGTGTGGAGCCTGATGGCAGGGCTCGATCCCATGACCCTGAGATCATGACCTGAGCTGAAACCAAGAGTCAGACCTTCAACTGACTGAGCCACCCAGGTGTCCCATAATCTTGTATTTTAAAAGATTAAAATGGTACAAAATGTGCAATAAACTTCTCACCCACTTTATTATTCAAACTCTCATGCTCAAGAACCCTGCTATCAGGTTTTTGGGATCATTGAGATGCCAATCCATGCTCCCCCCTACTTTTTCCACTATCCATCGGCCCCTACTGGGGAACTTTCCTGAACTTAGCCAAGGTCAGTTCCATGATTCATTCAGAATAATGTTATTTTGAGGAACCTCCATACTGTTCTCCAGAGTGGCTGCATCAGTTTGCATTCTCACCAACAGTGCAACGGTGATATTTTGAGAAGACAGAAGTCACTATATAGGCGTTCCCCCATCTCCCTGCCATCTACCTGAATTTTCTCTTCCCTTCTGACATCATGTATTTCTATGGTATTAAATGCCATTTGCATACTGATGACTTCCAAATTTGTATTTTCAAACCTACTTCTATTCTTGGCTCCATACTCATATCCAGCTGCCTACTAGATAGCTCCTGTTTGGGTTGGTAGAGTCTCAAATTTAACATCTTTGAATTCTCCATTTCCATCATTCCCTGCATCTACTCAAGCCATTGAACAGGTCCGGAAAGTTCTACCCACAAAATGCAATTTATATCTGTCCACTCCTCTCCATTTTCACTACAAGCCAGTCTTCCACTGTAGCAACAGCACCATAACAATTCCTACTTCAACTTATATCCACATTCTCAGTAATACATCCCTAGTACAAGAGTCACAGTGATCTTAACAAATGGTAATAAGTTTCTGCCAAGTGTAGAACATAGCAATTGCTTTCCATCAGGTGCTACATAAATGGCCCCTTGCTTACTTCTCCAACATTACCCAGTATCATTTTCCACCCTTGCTACCCATTCTGTAGATACACTGCCTGTGGCAGACATTGTGGGGGTTCCTCCCATATACCCCTGGCACTCACTCTTCCCAAGCATATTGACCTTTATGGCTTCCAATTGCAACTACTTGCAATTCTTGTTGGCTCCTGGACCTTGCTTGGTCCACTGTCAGGCAGGCTGGAAGTGCCAGAGAATTAACACCCCTGAGGACTAGACTTCAGCCAATTCCTGATGGGACTCAGTTGATAAAACCCTAGCTTCTTTCTAAGGTGGTATACGTGAGGCATGTTCTTACACCATCTCTTAGAGTTCCTCAGTGTAAATGAATCCTTGTAGCCCGTAATAGTAACCTGCTTGATAACCACACCTTCCCTGATTCACTCTCCTACTCTCCTCCCAATGCCTCTTGGGACATCCCGCCTCCCCTCAATGAACTTCTGGCACTCAGATCCTTGCTCAGGAATGGTTTCTGCAAAAGCCCAACCTGAGACACTGGCCACTTTTTCAATTCCTCAAGGCTCCTCCCTACATTATTAACTTTGTTCATGCTGTTTCCTGTACTTGGAAATTTCTTCTCTTCATCTGTTCTTTGCATGACCATTTCATTCTCATTTTTCAGCTCTCAAAGAAATCTTCCCTGATAATCCTAGCTAAAATAAATGGCTGATCATGCTTGCTCACACCAGCCAAAGTGGTTTCCTTCCCTTAACTTCTTGTTTCTGTGTCCTCACTAAATAGTCAGTTCCATGAGGGCAGGGGCCAGGTCTATTTGTTATGCAGTGGGTCCCCAGTACCTG